TTCCCTCTATTTAATTTTTAATTGTATGCCTGTCGAGTGCTGAAGAATGGGACAGCCGAAATTTATTTTAACAAGATCAATGAAAAAAAAAAGAATTGAATTGTCCGGATACAATACTGCGTTGATGGCAGACACAAAGAAAATTTTAGGTACCCCTAATAAAAGAAATAAATAATAGCGGGTAGAAAGAACTAAGTATCAATTATAAGATGACTGTCTGGTCGTTAGCGTTAAGGGGTCCACCCCTTTTTATACAAGTGAACTCGCCCAGTGTGTACTTGTACTGCTGCCGGTGAATACCCGGGGGTGATCCAGTGAGAGAGTGAGAGTGTGAGGTAACCGCTTTGTAGGAGTCACAGTTGCGAGCACGTAGACTCAGAAGGAAGTTATACTTCGATACTGAATTTCCCAGACTGTATATATATCATTATTGCTACTAATCGCATTTCTAGATCTACTAACCGTATTACCAATTGTATTATTACGTCAATACATTTATTTGCTATATTTCATTCCTGCGTTTGTCATTCATTTGAGACCGGATTTCAGCCCGGCATCCACAACAGTTAGTAAGGGAGACAACCCAAGATGGAGCTACAAACTAGAGATGCCAAAAACAATCAAGTGCATAAATGCACGCCTTATTGCGTTCTGGCAAAAAGGTTTCATTACTGACATGTTACTGCACCTGATTGAGAAAAGAGCGAATGAGTGAAAACCTTGGCAAACCACTCCCCCATTACTGGTATGTAAAGTAGTTATGGGAATATGATTACGACAGTAGTTAATCTGCAAACAAAAATCAATATTTTCGATAATGATGCGTAAAGTACATTAGCATCTTCTTATCTATGAGGATATGTCCAAAGACTTACAGATGAAGCTTGAAAGTCATTTTTTTAACCCATTGACTCCCAATCAAAGCGATAATGCCACTAAGATACAAAGAGTTACTGAGAATGAAAGGACATGAGAAAACGTTAGTAAGGAGAAAGGACATTAAAATGAAAGGTTTCAAGAAGACAGAAAATGATAATTTATGTTGTATAATGGAACCTCGGTTCACGAATTTAATTCGTTCCCGAAGGCCGTTCGTAACCCGAGACGTTCGTAAAGCGAAACTATTTTTCCAATAGTAATCAATGTAGAGAAAAAAGTCACAGTACAATAAAATTGGAAAAGAAAAGCATAGCACAACACACGGATGTATACAACACAGTGATCGACTCAGAAATTATTCTGTTTGGGTTACCTCGGTTTGGCAATGTTGTTCGAGAACCGAAATTTTGTTCGATAACCGAGGCATTTCTGTTCGAAAACCGATTTGTTCGACATGTGAAACGTTCGACAATCGAGGTTACTCTGTAATTAAATTTTTGTAGATTGTAGATAACAGCGAAGAAAAAAAAACGGAATAAAGTTTCTCAGATGAGAAAAGAAACTTACAATATGAAGCTTTGAGGACGCATGCAGGAAAGAATGAATATAATTATATATATATATGTCGAAGTTATGAATGTTTTGTATTCAAAAGTAGTAGTCGCCGCTTTACCACGTGGTGTAGGAAAAGTATAGTTGTTTTCAATGTAGCAAGGAATGGTTTAGCCGTATAAAGTCGCCACTTAGTCATGTAAATATTGTACTTTGTCTCTAGGCATGTTCCGATGACCAAACATCGGAGTATAGACAAAATTAATTTATCGACTCTGATTTGGGTTGATTTTTCATCTGTTTATATACACATCTATAGATCCGATTCAGAAAGCGTACTCTTCTTCTCATTGGCTTTCAGCCTATATCCTGGTTGTGGAATATGTCTGATTGGTTGGTCGAACTATCTATATTCATAAATGGTGAAATTTTGAATCCTTGATATCATTCGTTTATTTCTTTTCTTACATCCTGGTTGTGAAAGCTTTCTGACTGGTTGGTCGAACTAAGGCTTTATTTGCCTGATGATTTGTATTATCCAGCTATTTTTAGAGATGGGGAAATTTTGATTTTCTTGTTATTTATTTGTATTTATTTATTACTACATCATCACAAAAACAGAATTTACGGTTGCAATTTATATTTACAACAGTAGAAAGATGAGACGTAGTTGCCTATCTAGTACTACGCTTAAATTCATACCTTCAAGATGCCAAGAAGGGACGATCATTAGAACAACTGTCATGAAAATATGTATAGAAAAACACAGGTAGGCCATCATCACGGCGGTGGGAAAATGACTGAGATGCCAGGTCAAGACCGATAACATTACAAGCTTTGGAATTTGTGAAGAATCTCTCTATATATAATTCAGACCAAGTGTGATAGCAATGTTTGATGCACGGGCGGATAGTAGATTCATAAATATAGAGCACGCTAGCCTGACGGAATTAAAAACTCTCCAGCTTCGTTTGATTTCAGTGTTTTCCTTCTCCTAGACTGATTGCCAACCAAGGCTATAGAGCCCAGTTGTGCCATTTACCCATAACTTGGAGAGTGAAGAGATGGATTCATATATTTCCCACGGATGTTTGTAAGTGAATATAAAAACCGAAATTCGGACATGGATCTCTGACTTCGCATTCAGAGTCGCTATCTGGTCAGTCGGTAATACAATATGAAAAAATAGACAGGATACCATGTCGGGTACAAGAGCTCTCTTGGAAAATCCTTCTCCATGCCTATTCCTTCGATGAGGTAAGGGGTGGCTTGAACGGTTATCGGTAGGGAAACAGAATCAGCGAATGGTATTCAAATTTCAACTGAGAGAATTTATTCTGTGTTGATGCACTTGAGAAAGGCATGAATCACTGTCACGGGATCTAACGAACGCCTTTATCCACTGTGCAATGTGGATAAAGGCATTGATTAGATCCAGTGAGAGGATCCAAAGAGTGTGAGTTCAATACCCGGTTAAGGCAGCGGAGAACTTGGAGAGGGAAATTAACAGGAGATAACTGATAACTGACATCCATCAAACATGGCACGTGGAACTAGAACAGTCTACCCCAGTGAGCGAAATAAAGGGTTTAGTTCGACATTCCAACCACCTGGTGAAGGCCGGAGCGTACAACAGCCGAAACATTGTAATAAATATGGCGACAAAGATGATGACAATAGTCCGAAGAATGTAAATAGTGTACATAATACCTGATCTCAGAAATATAGACAGATACTGAAGGGCCGAAACGTTGTAATAAATATGGCGACAAAGATGAGGACAATAGTCCGAATAATGTAAATAGTGTACATAATACCTCATCTCAGATACCGCTGATGTAGTTTGCATTCACTTCTTGCACATACCCTTGAAAAACGAATCACTGACTGGACGCAGCTACGTGTAAACAGCTGAGTAGTTGGAGTTCTTTAACCATGTTAAGCAGTCTAAGACTGAAAAGAAAGAAACTACGGTTGACATACTCTTTAGCCAGTTCTTCGAATAACAGAAGAATGGTTGCATGCCAAAAGAGTCTCTGTGTGTGTTTGAATTTATTTCCAACCAAAACAAGAAGTGTCCTGGGTATGACGATAAACTACATCTGCATCCTAGGTAAGACGATAAACTACGTCCAACAGCAAAACCTCTGATCAGAAGGTTTTAAGGAACGTGGAACCTCCTCTTAATTGCTGATACTCCCAGGTCCACCCTGACCTGGGGTGGTAGCACCTGTTAGGGTCCCCCTATGGGCAAATAGTTAACCCCCAAACTTGGAACAAAACACTATGAAAGTGTAAAAATAGGTTTTAATACCAGCAATACAGTTTTGTAAAATAATATTACCAGCAATACATTTTTGAAGAAAAAAATATTACCAGCAATAAAAATCTTGTTGGCATTAAATAACCCATTGAGGTTGATATACCGTAAAGAAACCAAACCAAATCAGGAAGGAAAAGGTATCTGAAGTCTATGGACTGATCCCCTTCTTTGATCCTCACATGAGAGAAACATACCAAAAACAGCAACTATTACTACTTCTTTTATGCACAGTGCACCTCCAGGACGTGAGTGTTCATGGCTCTCCACAACTTCCTATCCTTAACTCTAATCAATAGTAGTCACCTTAGTATCTCTTCCAGTTCCTGTTCTGCCATCCAACTAAGTTTAGAATGTAGAATTAAATAGATCCTTTTTCAGTCATGACACATTCAAGCGTAACTGGGGACATCAGGTGGAAACCAGAGAGATAAGATTATAATGCTTTTCAATATTGTTTTGCACTAGTCTTAGTCTGTTTACAGATTGAAAAATAAACATGACGTAATAGAAAGTGATTCAAGAATTGTGTCCTTAACATCCGACATTTTTCCTTGAATTCTAACAGTGATGATTGGCTCATCTGTCGCCTGTTTGTTAAATTAATGACTGACAACAAGAAGGCGAGTAAATTTGGTGACTACCACAATAGACTTCTCAACCGGGATTCCTTGTTGCCGGTCAGAAGAGATGGACGGACGGGTTGAAAGCTATAAATATACCTTCGCATGCACATTATTAAAGTGCACTCAAGAGAAGGGTTACACTTGGAAGATGGCATCTCGACTGACAAGAGAGAATATGGCGGACACTTGAAGGAGACGAAGGAAGATCAGGGAAAACGGTGCAAAAAGCGGGAAACATGCCAAGTTCAAAAAATGCCCGACATGATTTAAGATTTCCCGACAGGAAGTGTCTCAGTGGGGAACGGAGTGGAGGATAGCGTTGTTAACAGGTGCAAGTGGCTTACTCATTTTCAGGTGACGGCATTTGGAGTTATGGATTAGCGCTGGTATTGAGAGGTGTTAAAATGCAAAGATTGCGGAGAAAGGATAGAATTCTATTATTTGATCCTTCTGTCGATGGCAAAATGCCCAGCTTTAACCGTAAGAAAACAGAAAACTGTAAACTCTTCTAAATTTCATGTATTTATTGCTTCTAAAATAAACATGACGTCATACTAACAATTATATTGGTATTGAACCTACCAACTTTTCCTATATGTAATTTACCCGCTTTTTAAAGAAATATGTACATTTCGATAAGAGTGAATCTATCTATCTATCTATCTGTCTATCTATCTTTTTATCCTATCTATTTATCCTATGTATGTATGTATGCATCTATCTTTTTATCCTATCTATTTATCCTATGTATGTATGTATCTATCTATCTTTTTATCCTATCAATTTATCCTATGTATGTATGTATGTATGTATGTATGTATGTATGTATCTATCTATCTATCTATCTATCTATCTATCTATTTATTCTATTGTGTATGTATGTATGCATCTATCTATCTATCTATCTTTTTATCGTATCTATTTATCCTATGCATGTATGTATGTATGTATGTATGTATCTATCTATCTATCTATCTATCTATCTATCTATCTATGCAGCTATCTATTTATCTATCTATCTTTTTATCCTATCTATTTATCCTATGTATGTATGTATGTGTGTATCTATCTATCTATCTATTTATCTATCTATCTTTTTATCCTATCTATTTATCCTATGTATGTATGCATCTATCTATCTATCTATCTATCTATCTATCTATCTTTTTATCCTATCTATTTATCCTATGTATGTATGTATCTATCTATGTAGCAATCTATTTATCTATCTATCTTTTTATCCTATCTATTTATCCTATGTATGTTTGTATGTATGTATGTATGTATGTATGTATGTATCTATCTATCTATCTATCTATCTATGTAGCTATCTATTTATCTATCTATCTTTTTTATGTATGTATGTATGTATCTATCTATCTATCTATCTATGTAGCTATCTATTTATCTATCTATCTATCTATCGTTTTATCCTATCCCATTTATCCTATCTATCTATCTATCTATCTATCTATCTATCTATATATATATATATATATATATATATATATATATATATATATATATCAGTGTTTCACGGTGAAACACTTTTTAACTGAATGTCCCGAATGTGGGGATTTACATCTGCGAGACATAAATGCTACAATGAAACCAACACGAGAAAAAATATTTAAAAATACTGAAACCGTCAACATAAAGTCCTACCTTAAACATATAACACCTACAATATATCATCTACAGCAGTGCCTCTTACACATTTTGAAGTCCGCGTGCACTTGGAATCCTACCAATAACTGTAGGCGCAATATATACAAATTTCGGAAAATAATATGTTATAATGAAGTGAAATATTGCAGAAAATAAATAATGCAATAAAAAAATATAACATTCCTTAAGTTTATTCATTCTTGTGTTTATGAGAAACATGAGCCTAATGAGTCTTAGCAATTTCGTCAATGTTTGGGCGTATATTTGATAGGCAAACTCTCATTTCCTCCTCAATACATTGAAGAGTTCCTCTCTTTTTGCACTAAATTGTGATGAGAGCAGAAAAGCCTAATTCAAATAAATATGATCGAGACGAGTACAGCAATATATCTGGGGACATATTTCTCTGATGTCAAACCAGTGAGATAGATAGATAGATAGATAGATAGATAGATAGATAGATAGATAGATAGATAGATAAACGGAATGAGATAGATATATAGACAGATGTCAAACCAGTAAGATAGATAGATAGATAGATAGATAGATAGATAGATAGATATTAACCCACTGAGATAGTTTTGGTTTGGTTGTTTTGGTTTATGCCGCTAAACAAAACAGCCAAACCAAAACTACCTCAGTGGGTTAATATCTATCTATCTATCTATCTATCTATCTATCTATCTATCTATCTATCTATCTCTGCTCATATCTTTCTATGTAGTCAATTTTGTTTCTATCTATCTCTGTTCATATCTTGTTATGTAGTCAATTTTGTTTCTATCTATCTATCTATATTTCTCACTGGTTTGACATCTGTCTATATATCTATCTCATTCCGTTTGTCTATCTATCTATCTACAGGAGTTGGACAAAATAATTGGAACAGTTGCAAAATCCTATATTTCAAAGACCTATTATATCAAGAACTTTAACTAAAACTTCGTAATTGCAGGTTATATCTATTGTAAATACGTTTATTTATCTAATTTACTGTCTTTGACTTATTCATTGTTAGAATTTAGTAAAATTTAAGCTAAATGCGTGACCTCTCCGAGTTCGAAAAAGAGCAAATTGTTGGAGCTCGCATGGCAGGAGCATCGATAACTAATGTTATTGAACTGTTTGGTTTTTCAAGAGGCCATATCAAGAACACTGATGCAATTCGAGAAACAGGGCAAGACCTCTATCAACCGTAGCAATTCGGGCCGGACTTGCAAACTTACTGACAGGGACTGACGTGTATCAAAACGCAATGTGGCAAAAACTCATCGGACAAATGCGGCCAAAGTGACTGCTGAGTTGAATAACCATCTGAATAGTTCAGTTTCTACTAAAACTGTTCACCGTGAGCTCCATAAGGTTGCATATCATGGAAGAGCCGCTGTGAGGAAACCTCTTCTCTCCACTCGCAACATTCAAAAGAGGTTGAAGTGGTGCAGAGATCACAATGCCTGGTCTACAGACCAATGGAAGCAAGTCATATTCTCAAACAAGTCCAGTTTTTCTCTTTTCTCAACTTCAGGGCGAGTTTATGTGGAGGCAGCCCAAAGAAGCTTACAATCCTGACTGCCTTCTTCCAACAGTGAAGCATGAAGGTAGATCAGTGATAGTTTGGGCCGCCATATCATGGAAATGTCCTAGTCCAATAGTTGCCCTGCATGGTAAAATAATCAACAGCAAAGATTACCTGAATATTTTGGGAGATCTTGTTCATCCAAGACTTTATTCCCTGATGGTGTCTGCATTTCCAAGACGATAATGCTCCAATACATACCGCTCGAGTGGTTAAGAATTGGTATGAAGAGCATGAAAGTGAGCTAGAACACAGGGAGTGGCCTCCCCAATCTCAAGATATCAATATTATTGAACATTTGTGGTGTATTTTGAAGAAACAAGTTAGGACCCGCTATCCTCCACCGTCGGGTCGGAAAGAGCTGGAGAAGGTTTTAATGAAAGAATGACTGAAAATCCCTCTGGATGAAGTCAGGAAGCTGTATGATTCCATTCCTAGACGTATTAAAGCTGTCAGTGCGGCAAAAGGAGGACCAACTTCATATTAAATAAATTTTCTTTGAATTTAACAAGTGCTCCAATTATTTTGTCCAACCCATCTATCTATCTATCTATCTATCTATCTATCTATCTATCTATCTATCTATCTATCTATCTTTCTCACTGGTTTGACATCTGTCTATATATCTATCTGATTCCGTTTGTCTATCTATCTATCTATCTATCTATCTATCTATCTATCTATCTATCTATCTATTTAACAGGTTTGACATCTGTCTATATATCTGTCTCATTCCGGTTGACTCTCTGCGTATCTATCTATCTATCTATCTATCTATCTATCTATCTATCTGAATTGTTATAATCTATCAAAGATCGCTCATATCAGTCTACTTTTCTAACCGTGCATGTACATGTATATATATTTTATATATTTTGATTTATATCATATAACACAACGAATCAAAGTATATACAATACGTATATATTTATGTGTGTTGTTCATTAAGGAATTTTAAAAGATGATGATATGATAGATATGAAAGTAAGGATATAGATATTAACAGATATATATATATATATATATATATAATGAAGAAATATATAAGTAATAAAGAGAATAAAATAGATAGATAGATAGATAGATATGAACAGCCTGAGATAGATAGATAGATAGATAGATAGATAGATAGCGAATAGGATAGTTATGAAATAACACAGACGTGAACAAAGACAATTGAAGATAAGGAAAAAAGAAAAGTTCAATTAGCAACATTTAGCATTTTTAAACTGATGTAATAATTTAATATATATATATATATATATATATATATATATGTGTGTGTGTGTGTGTGTGTGTGTGTGTGTGTGTGTGTGTGTGTATGTATAAATGTATATATCTCTATCTATAAAAGGCAGGATGTGTGTGTGTGTGTGTGTGTGTGACGAATGCACGGCCGCAATTTTCGACGGATTTGCACCAAAATTTACATGCACATGCTCCAACTTAGCGGGAAGGCCAAGACCGACATTGCATTTCCCAACTCCCATCGATAGTAGAAATAATCGATTTTTTCATGCTTCTACGGCAGTTTTCATGTAGTTTGCGGCCATTTTCTACTGGCCAGAGTGAGAGTCTATAGGTGGCTGCCACGAATAGGCAGGAAGATTCTATTGGCCAGCGTGAGAGCCAACAGCTGACTGACACGAATGTTAACTAGCATGCTGGCATGCAAAAAAATCGCTAGCTGCATTTGTCACAAGTGGGAAAAATTTATATTTCAGTCTGTTCACATCTATCTATCTCTCTCTCTCTCTCTCTCTCTCTCTCTCTATATATATATATATATATATATATATATATATATATATATATATATATATAGCCTGCGGGCTCTAAGTATTGACTCTATGTTCACTTTTATATTTACGCACGCTCTATCTCTGATATTGAGCACTTTATCCCATCAATATAGCACACCTTAAGAGTATATTTCTTCATATATGTATATATATATATATATATATATATATATATATATGTATGTATGTATGTGTGTATTTGCGTTGATGTGAGTTTATGACTTTGGGTTTCACACCCTTTGCGATCGTAAGATTGTCTGACGATCGCAAAGGACGTGAAACCAGGATCAACGCAACTAAATATGTTAGCTCTATCATTGATATTGAGCGCTTTCCAATAAGTTCAGCGCATATATAATAATTAAATAATATATAAAATTGCATATATATATATATGTCTATGTATATATATATATATATGCTATATTTATATACATACACATTTTACACATATATATATATATATATATATATAGAAAGTGGAATATATATATATATATAGAAAGTGGAATATATGTATATATATATATGTGCGTGTACATGTGTGTGTGAGAGAGAGAGAGCACGTGTGTCTATTGTTATAGATATGTGCATGTGTATAGAAATTATAAATATGTGGCAATATACGCATATTTGTGTGTGGTGATGGGGGTAAATATGTATATATGTTTTTGTGTATGTTTTTATACTGTCTACATATTGACTGATGTAAAAGTACACATGCACTTACATCACTTTTAATATACATAAATAGATTTTATTTTTTAATTTCGTTAAACTATGTGGGGATATAAATAATTTTTTTCATCATGCGTAAACCAATTTCTTTGTCCTGAAAAGTATTCCCGCATATCTACCCATACTAAGATGAAACAAATAAAATGTATAACTTAGAAATATCTATTTTAAAAATCTTTATAGTCATTAAAAATGTGTTATTGTAATTATTCACGTGCGTCAAAAGTTCAGTTTCGCTACCTTGGCTATGGACAATGCTTTTACCAACAGTAACGGCATAAAGATATATAAATTAGTAAGCTAAAAAAAAAACAAACACTTTCTATTTGTTATTTCCAAGTTTCCAATTAAAAATCGTTCTGAAAAATAAAAATATATATACTCTAAAATTGTTCTATAAAATTGCTTTCTAAAAACCACAGAAATATTTTTCTTTCTTTTCACAATAATCTTCACCATGTACAAGGCCCAAGAGTCACCCTAGGTAGAGGGTTATAGAGTAAGAATCACCACCCCTAGGCAAGGAGATAATGCCATCAAGGGGGCACCGGAAGTTAAAGAGAAGGAAAAAGGTTTTAGAAGGAACTGGAAACCCAATCCTAAACAGGAAAAAGGGACAAACCTCTACTCCTGTTTAAAAGACAAGGAAGGAGTGTGAACCGGGCTATAGGCAACCCTATCTACTCCTTTTTATCTAGACATTAATAATAAAATAGAAATTATTGTATTACACCAAACAGTTACAAATGCAAATTGTTACAACAGATAAATTCCGTATTGCAGACAAGTGACCGATTCCAGTTTTCTCTATGAAGAAAGATTTTGACGTTAAAAACCTTTTCTTGGATTAATATATATGTATGCCAAATTTGAGACCTTTACATTAAACTGTATCTCCCAAATTAAGAAATAGATTAAAAAAAAAATTCCTAATTTTATAGTGATCTTCTAAGCGTAACTTACATGTGGCACAAGACCGAAAGTATGGGGCACCCAGTGAGGATCGAACTCACTACTCGGTCGTAAATGTTCTAGCGAGACAAGCTAGCCAACCATTACACCGCCTCGAGGTTCCCGAATGATTTTCTAAGCGTAGCTTAGATGTGGCACAAGGCCGAAAGTAGGGGGTACCCAGTGAGGATCGAACTCACTATTCAGTCGCAACTGTTTTTTAGGGAGACAAGCTTGCTAACTATTACACTACACGGAGGTACCCTTCTTCCTAATTTTATATGGAGATACATAAAGTATGAAAATTTATATCTGGTTACGGTTATATCACATTGAAATAACTGTTCTTGTACGATCATCGAAGTTAAGTGGATAAAGGCGTTGGTTATATCCAGTGACAGGAACCAAAGAGTGTGAGTTCAATACGCGGTTAAGGCAGTGGAGAACTTGGAGAGGGGAATTAACAGGAGATAACTGATAACTGACATCCATTAAACATGGCACGTAGAACTAGAACAGTCTACCCCAGTGAGCGAAATAAAGGATTCAGTTCGACATTCCAACCACCTGAAGAAGGCCGGAGCGTACAATGGCCGAAACGTTGTAATAAATATGGCGACAAAGATGAGGACAATAGTCCGAATAATGTAAATAGTGTATTTATGAGGATTGCGACTCATTAGTGTTCATAGGTATGGTATATAACAGTCATGTTGCTTTGTTCCTCTTCCTATCAATCATTGCTCTTATTACTACAGAACTACATCTAGCAGCAAGGCGGGTAATTAGAGCGTTTTGAGGACTTAGCTGCAGTTTTTTTCAGGTCCACCCTGGGGTGTTAGTACCCATCTATGGGAAAAATAGTGAACTCCCAAACAAAAACAAAACACTATGAAAGTATAAAAATACATTTTTATATAGTAAAATGGCCAACAATACTTTATAGTAAAATGTCCAATTAAAAGATGTTCCAATAACTTGGACGGATTTTAAATCTGAATTAAGTTTAAGCGTCTAATGATTTTTTTCTTTTTCTTTCAGATTTGGTGGACATTTGGGTGATATTATTTTGCACACATTATTGCTATTACTTAAATAACATGATCCAATAGAAAAATAAATAAATTTTCACCAATAACACTGATTCATTTACTACTGACTTTGATCCGTCTTAATGAAACACCCTTTATATATATTTAAAGCAAAATGGCCAACAATACATTTTATAGCAAAATTACCAATAACATATTTTATCCGTAACTGAAGGCATACAATTGCGTTCAAAATATATTTAGTTGATTTCGGCATTAAGTAAACCATAAAGATTGATATGCCGCTAATCAAAATCAACCAATCAATATTCACCAATATAATATCTTACAATTTGTTAAAGAAATCAAACCGTATTTCAAAATATAACTTCAACAAAACTACAACACAAAACACACATATCGACGCCTCTAGTAATTATGTCCCCACAAACATGTATATGTACAAAACCAAAGTACCATCTACCATGTATTGAATTGTGAAAGCAGAATAACATATATCATATATTTATTGCCTTAAAGCTCCCAAGAAAATTACATTTCGGCATTAAATGACCCATAAAGGAGTTGATATGTCGTTAAACGAACGAATACCTTTTACTACGGATGTTAATAATACAGATTTTTGCACATATTGCAGGCTTCTCCCTTTATTGTTAAGGAGTTTTTCTACGTATTCATTCGATCATTACAGTAAATTTTCTTTTCGCATGATGGTCGTTCCTTTAAATATTGAAACTATAGCTGCTAAATATTTTTCATGCCTTCAAATAATCGTTGCCTTTATTCCTTCACATTTTTAATAGGATGTTTAGTAAGTTGGATTTACAAAATTTTATTATTTTTTGGCGCTCCACTATCGTGGACTTGAGCCAGACTAAGCAAGATTTACACTTGGTTAAAATGTTCGTACATCTATGTGTGTGTGTTATTATTTCTTCATTCGATTTGAAAATAATTTTCTTTTGCTTCGAAAATCGACCCGTTGACATGTGTACGGCTAGAAATTTCCCTCTAGTTCTTTTTATCAACTACTTTTCGCTGTATAAGATTATATCAGCTGAACAGATGACAGATTTTGTTTCTTTTTCTTTTTTGCTTTTAATGATATGATCACAGGTCTTATTTTCAACGCCTACAATCCGATATCAATCTAATTCAGTTTTTTTTTTTATCTATTTTTCTGTTTCAAATTTTCTTAGGACTGATAATGATTAAGGTGTGGCTGATCTGACGGTTAAAGGCACGAAGATTGGAACTGACG